TACAGACTCTTTGGAAAAATAGGAGTCGAGCGATTGTGATGTTGAAAAGCTTGAATACCTCGGGTTCATTGAAAAGCCCTGGCTTGCACGAAGTTTTTTAAGTTTTTATTTCTTTCTGTAGTGACGAAAGAAGTCTCAGCCAAAGTTCTCGCCATACTTAATTGTTTCTTTGACGTGTCTTTCGAGTAACCGTAAGTCCACATCCTTAGTTATTGAGCGATTTTCATCTAATCGAAAATAAGAACAGTTTTGAAACGATGGATACTCTCAAGGAATTTCTTGCGCCAAAAGCATTCAACAAAATTAGCTTCGTTGCAGTTTTAATTTGGTTCGTATCTATGTCACCACTATTTATAGTCATAGACAAAGCTAAAACTTGCGAAAGCCTTACAAGACCATCATTATTACATTATTTTCTGTCATAAAAATCGAACGAATTGCGAGATCTGTTACTCCAATGTGTATGGAAAAGCTCGCGAAACTGTACAGATTTGTTTCTGTTGGTCTCTGGTAACCATCGTTACAACTTTTCTAATGTAGCACAAACTAACTTTCATGTGGATCTCAAATACACACGAAGGATTTTTTTAAAGAAATTACACCTGAAAAATTTTATTTCTGTGATGTATTTGCTGAGATCGATGGTTTCGACGTAAGAATCTGGTGGCTTCGAATTCAAAACATACCCGGTCTTGTATGTAATATCATGTTAACTCAACGTTTACATTAGAGAATATAAACATTCTTGTGACACAAATATCAAATATCAGTTAAGTACAATCGAAACCGTAATCAAATTTTCGCTGTGTAGGGAGCTTCGCAGATAACAGTTGCACATCCTTGACCCCAGTCACGTGATTATGCCTATCCATCATTGTGGCAGAGCATCGGAGCGCGGAATCCGAAGGTCTGAGGTTCGACCTTCATGGGGACTCAGGATTTTTTCTTTGTCCCACGTTCGTGCCAAGACGATAAACATCTTCCTCTATATCATTTAATGTAACTTAGTCCATGGTATTCTAATAAAGCAGTTGTGTAGAGCACCTGGTCTGATTCACGCATTACTCTATAGTAGTATATAGATCCCTAATACACAACAGATGCTGCTTTATGCTTCTGGATTAAAACAGGTTAACTGCCTGTAGTAGGTGTAAACAAGAGAGACCAATTTCAAGTCACCATTGTTTTAACCCTTTACACCCTAACATCAGTATGCATATTCTCCATACTGTTCTCTCTACATTTACTAAGGAGCTGACAAGGAGAATTTGTTTAACAATCAAGAGCTTCTTTAAATGGTGATCATTTCCTTTATTCTCATTACCTTAATGTTCGATTCAGGAGTGACATTGTGAGGAGAAATTAGATCCTAGTCAATCTTCGAGATAAGAGGCTAAGTTTTTGCATCTGGGCCCGTTTCTCGAAGATCCCGGTAACTTAACGGGCCTCTGAAGCTGTTCTCCCTTCATTAAAGATTGGAGTTTTAGCTACCTAGACTTTCGAGAGACCAGACCCTAGATTGGTAAGGATAACTAACGAGCAGGCCGTAATTAATAGCATCTCGACACTAGCGTTTGTTTGCATGCGAGAAAGTCAGAGTCCTTGAGTAACGCGACCTGCAGGTCCTGCGGCGCTAGTAGCGTGATTTTTATCAAGAGAACAGGAACGTCAGTCGGTTAAGATCTAATTAAAAAAGAGGAAGGAACTTTACTAGGAAGCTGGGTGACAAATTGGATTTTCTCCGCATTAATGCATGTCATTACAGCATATATGCATTCTTCTGAAAGCCAGCGTTCTTCTAGTACTGACATGAACGTAGTTCATGGGACAGATACGAAAGGAAATACTTACTTGAACTGCTTGAACAACTGTAGAGACTGTAAAGTGAACTCAAAATAAAAAGAGATGTGTCTTTTAAGGATGGCAAAAAACACAGATTAATTGGTAATCTAAAATAATGCATAACATGAGAACACCATCAAGAGCTGTAAGAGTTTTATAAGTTACCTCTTTGGGGAAATATTTCAACAGAAATACGAAACCAACTTAAGTAGAACCTGGTCCCAGTATCCTGAGGAACATAAATAAGGAACCTCCATCAGGGCTTTGTACTAGCTCCATAAAAGGTGTGTGAAGTGTAGCTTTGTCTGATGTACAGATCAAGCCCATAGCTGTTACTGATATCTCCATAGCAGTTCCATTGACTGCAGCCATCAGAAGCTAAGGGAATTCTGAAGTGTTGCACAACATTCTTTTCATCATTAAAGGGAACATTTTTTTGAAAAAAACAAAATCAATTTTTACTTACATTTAATTATACCCTATGGCCAGAAGAAAGGTATATAATCAATTTCTATTCAATAATGTTTTATGGTGCTTTAAATTTTAATTTCCTGGAGACTCTTTGGAGAATTTGAATGATTTTCTTGAAAAAGAAAAATGCAGTGTAGCAGCTTCAAAACTGACCAAATGTTAACTTGTTACCCCCTGTCTCTTAAGTAGGCATACAAGCAGGTTCTCATAAGCCCTGTGGCACAACTAACAACTTTAGCAGCTTCACTTCTCATGGTACTAGAACCAATGAGAGCATGCAGGCTTACAAGTTCCCATTGTGGAAAATAAAAAATTTAAAACATGTTTTTGGCATTTCAATTATTTAAAATGATTTCTAAAATACTTTTAAATGTAATGTAAATTGACGAAAAGAGACAATTCATGGCTTCCTCAAAACTCTACATATTAATATGTTCATGTTCAGCCTTCCATTGCCATAAATGAACAATGTTCCACCTTGTATAGTCATTTCTCATTATTCCTCCAAGACCTCCGTTTCCCACTCAACTGTTGTGACATCAAAAGTAAGCAAGAACATAGTTGGTCCAACTTCTTCAATATCCTTTTCAATTCTTAATTCAGGTTCCCCATAATGGCCCTGAAAGCTAAGTGTAAGGCTTACGGGCATTGGATTCTCCTTTGACAGGACTACTTGCCTTGGGAACTTGACCTCAAAGGGCTCCTTCATCAACTCTATATCTTTTTTGAGAGGAGGAATCTCTACTTTCACTTGTTTTAAAAATGAGTAGGGTGTTTTTGAGGCCGGATCCAGTCCCTGAATCAACAGTGAGTCATTCCTGACATCAACTTGGAAGCATCGTTTGAGCTGAAACTGTGGCACTTCAAGGCCAAATTCTTTCACAAGTTTGAGTAAAACAATGTCAATGGTAGCGTGAACTTCCAAAGCACATCTTTTGTTGAAAGGTGTTTTCTGGAGGTTCACAGTCACCACTTTAGCTCCTCTTTTGATCATGTCCCCTGGTATGTCCGCAGCCGGGTAAACCCTAAGGCTTGAACCCAGAACTATGCATAGATCTGCAAGCTTTGCATTTTCAAATGCACTGTCTAGTTCATCCTCTGGCAGATCTTCATTAAAGTTTATTATGGAGTCCACAAGGGGGCCACGGCATTTGGGGTCATCACAGGTACGGCCTGTCAAATGGTCATGTACAGCTTTGGCTGTGCGGGTTCTATAGTCACGCATAAACTTTGACCCACACTTTAAACAATGTTCCATGTTTGTATTACCATGCAACTCAGCAAGGCACTTGGGATCAAGGCCTGACCGTCTGTGCAGGCCATCAGTATTTTGGCTGACCACAAACTTTACTAGGCCTTCCCTCACAAGCTTAACTATTGCCATATGTGATGGTGATGGCACAGCTTTTAACACATTTTGCACTTTTTTTTGCTGGGAGGGTAACTTGATGCCATGAGCCTTGCGCTCCCACACCCCAGGGCCAGTGGTTAGAACTGTGTTCACACCACTCCTAAAATCAGGAATACCAGTGCTTGTGCTGATACCAGCACCTGTGAAGACAATACAGTATCGACTCTCACGAATCCATTGTGCCAGAACCTGAATCTTTTCTGACAGCACATCCTCTTCATCAAAATACTCCTTCTTCTCAAACTCACTTGATATTGCATTTGATCTTGGTTTTGGTTTGGGAGCAGCAGACCCATAAGATGGTTTCAAGCCTGATGCCTTCCCATGTCTTGCTTGTGGAACTTTTGAGCCAGCTTTCCTAGGTGTGGTCATAGGGGCATTCTTGTAGTCTTCTTGAAGAGCCGCCTGGGTTTTCTGAGCTTGGGCAAACATTGCTTCCATGTGTGATCCAGATGCTTTTGAATTGGATTTTGATGTGAAATTTGCTGCCATGGACAGAGCTGATGAAAAAAGAAAGAAGCTAAATATTAAGTTGCAATTTTAACAGAATTAAACAAATCATTGCGAACCACTAATTACAAACCACTCCATGCAGGGATCTTGAGATTTGGGTAATGAGGAAGGTTGCCCATGACATCATCATTATGTTATTGTTAACACCCTGTCTCCAAACTTTTTCCATGCCTTACCCAACTAACAATTGTAGTACATAGAGATCAATTGATTTCTCATCTGTATTTTCATTTTATTAGCTTAGCTAAGCAACTCCTACAGAGTAACCATTTTAAAATCTGTCTGACGAAACAGGTTTTAAGTATTATTAGGTATTAGTATTATTGTCCCAGGACTTCCCGCCAATTTTGTGTTATCTGCGAAGCTCCCGGCCTGACTAAAATATTGCATCTGTTTCCCATTTTAAAAAAAGTAACCCGAAAAGAACTTTTATACATTTTCGTATAGAACTGGACTCAACCGACATTGAGAAAAGGAGAGATCGCCAGCCGAATAGCGAAAGCCTGTGACAAAATTAGATACTTAGTTGTTTATACAACCCACACAGTAAAAATTTAATTTCGGTTTCAATTAAACTTAACTAATATTTGATATTTGTGTCACAAGAATGTTTATATTCTCTAATCTAAACGTTAAGTTACCATGATATTACGTACAAGACCGAGTATGTTTTGAATTCGAAGCCACCAGAATTCTTACGTCGAAACCATCGATCTCACCAAATGCATCACAGAAATAATATGTTTCAGGTGTAATTTCTTGAAAATATTCTTCATGTGTATTAGAGTTCTCCATGAAAGTAAGTTAGTGTTGCATTACAAAAGTTGTAACGATGGTTACCAGAGACCAACAGAAACAAAGCTGTACAGACGTGGGAGTAACAGATCTCGCAATTAGTTCGATTTCTATGACAGAAAATGATGTGAACAAAAGAAAAACTTACCTTATGATGATCTTGTACTTCGTTGAAAAGGATTTCGTAATTTTAAGTTGTGTTTCTAAGCTACGACTATGAAATATTAGGGAGTTTCGCAGCTTATCGACTACAATCTAAGACTGGAGCGAACACCTGGGTACCAGTCTCTTCCAACAATAAGAGTTGGGATAAAACATCATAGTCGTCAAACCAGATTTCTTAATTATTCAACGCTTTTAGTACATAATAAAAAATGCAAAACTAAACAAAACGAAAAAGTGCCAATAACAGTTGAGTTCTTGACAACTTCAAAAGTTTTCAAAAAATCTTTATCAATTAGTTTTGGATTTTTGGAAAATCCTATCCTTGTAGAACCAAGGGCAAATACCAGGGTAGAGGGGTAAGGATAATTGAGCCTGTGGTGGAGGGTGGGTGGGACAGATTATGAGTGTTAGATGGGGATGTTACACCTTGCAATATATGAAAAAATATAAAATAGACTTTAGCCCAAATTTGTATTACTGATAATCATATTCAAAGGTAAATGCTTAAAATACATAGATTTTTATTACAAATATGGAAATACGCCCACTGATATATATCTTTTTTATAATATAATATAAAAGTTGTCAGAGCTTTACAAACTGTCAGTGAGCTTAAGAACTGGTAACCTGATAGACTTCAGACAATACAATATACTTCTGTAAACATAGTATTGTCCTTAAGACCAATAATGATTGGAGCTGATATCATTCAAAAAGCCTTTTCTTCAAGAGAAAAAGATGATAAACACTCTAATTGACATGGTGGTATAGATTTTTAGCACAGGATATTAATTCATAACAGAATCTGCATACTTTCCTACACCCTTGAAAGTTACTTAAAAAATTTTTTATCATGTCCATTGCTAAATTTACTTTCAAATAGAAATGACATTCTACAGGTAAGCAAAACAGAAATCTTCAAGCACAAATACAAGTACAATGTATTATGTGTATCTGTGGTTTTAGAGTGTTTTCATTCTTTTTTCAGTGACCACTCCCCTTTACTTAAATTGTATTCTGCATGAAACAAAGCCTTCCCAAAGCTTGTAACAGAATGAGTAAAGGACATGCTTGGTTCACCATAGTGACCCTGGAAACCAAACTCTAGCTCTGCAATCAATGGAGTAGTTTCTGAGATACTTAGGCTTTGCCTGAAACACATTTCCAGAGGCTCCTTAGAAAGGATTTTTTCATCAATAATTTTCTTTGTGCCTTCAATCTCCTGCGACACACGCAAAGATACTTGCTTTAAGAAAGAATATGGAGTGTTACATTGTATGTCAAGGCCTTGAATCAACATTTTATCCTGACTTGTCTCAACAGCAAAGCGACGCTGAACCCTGAAGGGTGGAATCTCCAAGCCAAGTCTCTCCATCAGCCCCCTCATTACTGTATCGATCTGGCTGTGTATTTGAAGGGAACTCTGTGAACTGAGTGGTGTCTTCTGCAAATTGCAGATCACCAGTTTCTGTTTCCTGCGAATGACAGTGGCTGGAATGTCTGCTGCTGGATAAACCTGAAGGCTGGACCCAAGCACAATCATTAAGTCTGACTTTTCAGCCTCTTGGTATGACTTTATCAGGTCATCATCAGGCAGACTCTCTCCAAAGTTTATAATGGAGTCTACTAAAAGTCCACAGCACTTGATATTATCACAGGACCTTCCAGTCAGGTGGTCATGCACTTCCCTGGCAGTTCGTGTGTCAAAGTCTCTCAAATATTTAGCACCACAAGTAGTACACTTTTCTAGGTTGGTATTTCCATGAAGTTCAGCAAGTTCATCGCTGGGAATGCCACTGCGCAAGTGGAGACCATCAACATTTTGGCTGACAGTGAGTTTAACCAACCCTTCCTTATGGAGTTTCACAATGGCCATGTGGGAAGGTGAAGGTATTGCCTTTAACATGGGAGTTACTTTACCTGGCTGGCGAGCAACACCTTTAGCTTGTATCTCCCATAAACCAGGGCCTGTCTTAAGAACAGTGTTCATGCCACTTCGAAAATCAGGGATACCTGTACTTGTGCTGATTCCTGCACCTGTGAACATAACACAGTGTTTACTCTCTCTGACCCATTTTGCAAGAAGATCAATCTTTTGCTCCAGCTCTTCTGGAGAGTCAAAGAACTCTTTCTTGTCATCCTCATTCTTGATGTTATGATGGTCTCTTCCACCTGGGCTTGGCTTTCCAGTGGGTTTGTCTGATGTAGGTTTTGCTTCTGGGGGACCTGTGTTCAGACCAAATACATTGATGATTAAAACAAGCATTTATCAAATTACCAATTCACTGAAAGAAGCAGAAACTTTTTCAAGAACACAAAGTAAAAAGAAATTGGTGTTAATGCTACTTTGATCATAGATCTGAGCCTTAATCTCCTAGAAAAATAGCTAAGAGAATGTGTTGATTAAATTCAAAACTACAACCTGAATAAACAGTTTTGTCTCTTCCCATTATTAGTGCTCAAACTATGTATTGGTATCACAGGAAAATGTTACATGGTAAACCAATGCAGGAATGTAATCCTCACAAAAATGCCACAGTATTGCGGTTAAAATGCAAGTAAATACAACACAGAAAGAAAATGTCACTAATTAGCAGGGCTATAATTGATTTTACTTTTCTAAATATCAAGGGAATTTCAGGAAGCTCCCAAAAGCACAGTACATTGACTTTTTCTGTCCTGTATCTGAGCTGCTTTTAAAGAAAGTTTAAAGTCTAGGAATAAAGATTCAAGCCAAGCCCTCATTATCTTTTTCTTGTTTTGATGGTGGTTCCAGGTTCTGAAGTAACAGCTTGGCCTGTGTTCACTCCCAAATCTAAATATCATTTCTCTGCATGTTTTTCATAGTTTTAGCATGGGAAATTTGGTATTGAACTAATTTTCCCTACTTACTATGCTATTCTTTATCCCTGTCACTGTTTTAATTGCAAATGTATTTGATATTCTGAGGAAAAAATCCCTTTATTTAATAATTCTTGGACTGATAGAGTATCTTTGGCAAGTGCCTCTACCCATGTTAGGCTTTATGTTTGACCCTTGCCAAGGAAACACTGCTGAGTTACACAGGGAGGTCATGAAAATCATAGGGAAACAACTTTGTAGAGAGTAGTGAAAGAAATGCAAGAGTGTTATCATCCACTGAAAATATTCCCAAAACAGTCATCACCTTATACACCCTTGTATACACTCTTTGAAATGCTCTATTTTGGTTTAGAGTTGAATCAGTTGCAATATTTAGACAGGGGATTCTTTATAACATTTATTTCAGACATCTAATAATGTTTATAGACTAAGAGAGAAATAAACAAACTATTTAACAAGCCATTGCCAACACAAAAAAATCACCAGCTTTCCTCCTAAACCCTACTGACAAGGGAAATTTGCCATGGTTGATAACAAGCTTTGCTTAGATCTTGTTTAAAAAGTTATTTATTTTCAGCCCCAGCTGCAGTACCTGGGCTTCCTTTGTCTTTCTGCAGCTGTTCTTTTGGGGTTATCCTGACAATATCAGAAAGGGCCGTTGCCAATTTCTCTAGGTCTCTTGCTTTTCTTTCTTGAGCTTCCTTCATTTTACGTTCTGTAGTTGGGAACACACCATCCCTCACAACCTTTTCACAAACAAGCTTCCAACCTTCCTCCTCTTTCTCCCATGATGCAACAAACTGAAAATGTGATGGGACATCTGTTGGAAAAGACACTGGATATTTTGTTGAGGTGTCTTCACCAACACAGATCTCAATATTACTTGAATTGCCATGAAGATACAGAGATTCAAACTGGGAATGCTTCAGCAGATTTATTGACAGATCTGATGTACTATCTGCCATGATAGTTGGAATCTGTCAGAAACAAAACATTTGGTACTTTTAATAACTAACTTGAGTAGCTTGAAAAATTTAAGTGAGATTAATTTTGGAGTCGGGGATCCTCTGTCCTTTATAGGGACAAATGTTTGTGGCTCAAGATGATTTGGAAGTAACTTTCTAATCTTGTGTTCAAATTTTCTAACTGAAAGAAGCTTCATGTTTGATGACTTGTTGTAGATGGATATTTTGACAGAATAGGCATTTGATTCAGATGCAGAGTTTGTCGTTTGACTAAGTTACAGACTAAGCAGTTACTTTATTTTTATATAACATTATTTTGAGGTATTTTTCTGGGTTGACTCCAACTTTAGCAGATCACACCTTCACCTTGCTTGTCATATGGTGCTTAATTATACAAGTAAAGTAGCTCGAGTTACCACAAATCTGCAATATGTCTTTCCAATTTGATTCTTCACCGATTTTAACCCTTCTACCCTTTAGATCTCAAAAACAATTCTCCTCATTGTCAGACACACATTTCTTATGATTTAAACACTGATAATTTAGTGCTAACCGAGCAGTCTCCCCTAACTGACACTTTTCTTTTCTATCATCACTATTCTGCCTGCAAATGTATCGTTACCGTTTGGGGAAGTTCTCCTTTGGTCATACCTAGAGGTGGAGAGAGTTATACGTTATTATAAAACAAGATTTGTACACCAGAGTTAAAAGTATTCCTAACCTGACCACATTCAAGAAAATTCAAAACAATTTTCTTGCAGGACAGAAGTTCCAGTACACCTGATATCAGCGTGCAGTTTACGTCCAGCACCAAATTGTCACATTTCTCAATGAGTAACTTAGCAGCTTTTTCTTGTAACCGTGCATAGCAATCTGTGCAGTTGCTTACGATCAACAAGGCATCTTTTGCGTTTGTTTTGAGCTCAAATTCTTCACCTTGTCTTCCACTGATTACATGCGTAGGTCTCTGAGCTAACTTGAACATCGATTGCAGATTAGAAAAAGCCATAAGTAGCTTTTCTTGACCAGCTTATTTTCGCCTCCGCCGTCTTCTTCGAAGTTCGATGAATGTGTTAGAGCGCTTAGCACTGCAAAGTTCTTCAATTTGAATCGTATGGAGTGCTCACTATGCACAATAATTTTCGTAGCTGACGGTCTTGTCCGCAAGCGGATAAAGAGTAATGATCTGTTATTCAATGGGAAGTGGAAATGAAATAAATATCTTAGTTTCAGACGTCATCTGTGGTTCCGTGTGGAAGGCTCGGTCACTTATTTGCTTGTCAGCAGTAAGGCGCGACTGGTTAGCTTGCGGTTGGGCAGAATGGAGGTGGAAGAAAATTCTTCGGAAACTCCGTATGTAGCTATATTTAAAACTTATTTTTACCAATGCTAGGTTAATAACTCTTGCGTAACTGTTCCAAGACATTAAGGTGTGCTATTTTTTCAATCTAATGCTCACATGGGACACGATTTGTCTCATTGGAATCGCGCAGCCTAGAGATTGTGTGAAACAGAAAGGATTTCAGTTTATTTTCTAAAATATCGTAGAAACATTCCAAACCTTCTTGATCCCAACGTCAATTCATAGAAGATTTGAAATTATATGTATTTCCTAAGGAAATCACAGATGGAGGATACATGTGCCCAATTGTGATAAAAAAAAAACCAAACAAATAAACAAACAAACAAAAAAAAAACGCTAAAAAATAAAACATGTTTCATCTTTTTCGGGGCCAGCTGATTACCTATGAATAAAAAGATGTAAACAGTAAGGGATTTTATGAACCAATTGTCACAAAATATTTTCCATCTATTGGTTATTTTATACATCAAAGACACATTGCAATTATTGTACATCAAAGTTTTCTTGTTTTTACTTTAAAAACATGTGCGATGAGTCGGACAAATCTCAGCTGAAAATAACTCTGGATTATGATAAAAGATAAAAAGTGTTACGTATCTCTTTATCCAAGAACATGTTGTAGGCAGACTGTACTTTCTAAAAAACTGTTCAAATCTTACACGTGCCAACTTGGAAAAAAATATGGGGCTGTGCGGAAATTTTTTCCACTCTGACTAGTAATGTGAATTTATATCTTCAGAATGGTGGTAGAAAACAAAGGTGATTGGTCTGGCAGATGGAGTCATGTTCAGAGATTGCTGTTGAGAAGCGGGCCTTTGGCTCATCAAGACTTTGAACCTGGACCTCAGGTATTACCAATGGACAACTTTGACAAATAAATACTGATCTTACTTACCACTCAAACTCAAAAATAATCAGCATTATGGCACTGTATGATTAATGGTGTCAGACTTAGTGAGGGGGGGGGACTTAGTGAGGGGGGGGGACTTAGTGAGGTGGGGGAAGGGGCAATGATTGAAGGGCCACAAGAAAACAGGGAAGAGGGAGAAATTAAGTTATTAATGAGAGTACAAAGCAGGAGAGAAAAAACGCATAGGCTCAAGACAGCAGGATAAGAAAAAAAGGTGAAGGTTCTTGTCCCCTTATTCCCTAACTGGCACATGTATGAAGTTTCTTCTTCAGAGTCTAAGAAATTTGAGTTAAAATGAATTTCTAGGGCACTCTTCAAATGCTTTATAGTAAACTGGTATTAGAGGTGTTTTTGTGTCTTCACAAAAGAAGTGTAAATTGTCAAATTGCATGCCACTGTCAACATTGGCAATTTGAACTCAGCAGCATTTCTTGCACCCTGGCTCCCTTTTCTTCACTAGGTTCTTGAATTTATGCTTGATACAGCTAAAATTCTGGTTATTGGAGCTGGAGGATTAGGCTGTGAATTACTGAAGGATCTGGTGAGTATTTGACTTTGCAAAGAAATGCATGTCTTATTTCTTTTTGAATATGTGCTCACTCTTGCATCTATATTCTATACCTGCCAATGTTTTTTGTTTTTTACTAGACAAGTAATTTTTTGTATAGGACTGGAGTGATGATATTCATGTTATGCTATTTGTTATTTAAATGAGTGCTTAGTTAGTTTCTTATATAAATGCCTAATATTTTATTATTGCTTAACCCTTCAAGCCTGTTTCTTGAATGTTCAGGTAGCTTTACAGGTGTGTAAAGCAGTACTGTTTTCATTCCAGATGGGAGTCTCAAAGGTTTTGAAAATGATACCGAAAGCTGTTGCCAGAACCTGCTTCTCCAATCTTTAAATTTTGATTTTAAAATATGGCTTTAGGCCTGTTAAGTTTCCACAACTTTTGAAAATCTGGCCCCTGGAGACTTGAAGGGTTAAAACAAGTTTGAATTAATGCTTTACATCTTTGCTTGGCAGGCATTGAGTGGGTTTAGGAACATAGATGTTATTGATATGGATACAATAGATGTTTCAAATCTAAATAGACAGTTTCTGTTCAGGTATTACTAACCTTTTTTTGAATAAATGGAATATCATCCATTTTAATTGGGAATTAGGAAATTGGCTATGAATACTGAATGCAGTATACTGAATGAAGTTAGTTTTCAAATCTTTACTGAAGATGTCTTGTGTTCTGAAATTTATGTTTTATATCAATCTTAGTTGTAAGCTAATCATTTTTATGATGTTACCCCAAAACGGCATAGTTTTATTCACATAAGGCAGGATTGAATGCGTATAATCATTGTGTGCCTATGCAGGTTGTGTAAGTGCTCTCTTTTGTGAACTTCTAATGGTGAAGTTTACTTCATTCAGGTAAACTTTATCCTGTGGCATACCAAGGAAACAAAGTACTCTGATTGGTCAATGTGGATATAATTAACCCTTATCAGGTAAACATTTTCAGTGCATGCTGATTTGGGCACAATCTTTCTGACATGTGATTTTCTGTTTTCCCTTAATTTCAAGACCAAAAGATATAGGAAAACCCAAAGCTGTTGTAGCTGCAGAGTTTATCAACAGTAGAGTGGCAGGCTGTAATGTTACTCCGTATCCTTTGAATTCATAACTTGTTTCCTTTTTCTGCTTCTGACTAGTAAATTTGAATGTTTTTTTAAATTTTATCATCTAAGCTATGTCTGACTCTTATAAGCTTAGAGTAAATTTTTGCACCTGTCACACCTGTGGATTGTAAATTCAGATCTCATGCCAGTATGTACTGTATTTCATCAAATAAGCGCTCACTCTTTAAAAAGCACAAGTGTCCACCCCCTTGGCCATAACATCAAACACATGCCCCCTTGGCCATAACATCAAACACATGCCCCCTTGAATAAGGCCCCCCCCCCCCATCCCTCCTCTTCTCATACTTCTTTAAATAGCAGAGATCCAAGAAAAACCTGTTTCTATTGTCACTTTATTTATAACTTTTTAAGCTTCAACTACAATGGAATCAGTACAGGTTAATAATTTCTTAATAAATGACCTCCTCAATTAAGTGCCCTTCTACCAATAAGTGCCCCTCTTTTCAGCCAAATTTTAACTAGGTGCTGGGCACTTTTTTAAGAAAATGCAAAAATTGCTGGTGAATTTTGTATGCCGACAAGAAGCCGAAGGGTTTGAGTGATCACTGACAGTGCTAACTCTTATTATCAAGAGAAATGAAAAGTCTATGGGTTGGAATAATTATATATTAGTTGAAACATTGGGTGGAGAGGACAACTTTGTTACTATTTGAAGCATCTTGAGAAATTTCCTGTTGATCTTATAGATAAAATCAGCTTCTCTGAAATTTCTGGCACTTTTAGGATGAAAATCTTTCACCTTTGACTAATAACTTTGGCATGATACAATGTTGGTATAAGATGAGCTTCTTTGACAAGTTACTTTACAGACATTTTAAAAAGATTCAAGACTATGATGCAGATTTTTATAGAGGTTTGTTCAATCAATGAGATCTGTAGAAAACTGAAAATTGCAAAATGTGAAAATGAGTTTTAAAGTGCTGGTCAGATAAGATGGAGCATTTTAAGTTACTTCCAGATAAATGTGATTTTTAGGAGGCCATTTGATGAAAGAATGTTAAATATATATTCAGTAAATCATATTAAGTAATTTATTTTAACAGTCATTCATATCTACACTATTTGGTTACTTGCATCTTGTTAGTACTACCATAAATCAAATATTCAATACATTATTTATGGCAGGATTTCACCTTATAGTCTGTGGATTAGATTCCATTGTGGCGAGGAGGTGGATAAATGGAATGGTGGTATGAGTTATTTCAATTATTTTATACTATGATTTTTTCAGTAGTTAAAATTGATATTAAAAACAAGTTGCATTTGTCTTCTTAATTCTAATTTTCCCTGCCAGCCCTCTGGTAGCCCTTTTATACAAATGATACCATGATTCTAGTCTTTAGAATCACAGTAAAGTTTTTGAAGGGAATCCAAACTATTTTTTGTTTCAGCTTAGTCTGTTAGAGTATGAAGAGGATGGCACACTGGATCAGACTAGTATTATTCCTATGGTAGATGGTGGAACAGAAGGTAAGACTTAAGAAAATTTAAATTCCCAAGGAAACTCCTTTGAATGCAAAAAATTAAGTTTTGTAATTGTAAACTGTTGTTGCTCTAATTGGCTATTGATTCTAATTTGCTACTGATCAACCTGAGCACTATTGCAAGGGTTGTGGTTGTGTTGTTTTGTTAGGATGACAATTACTATTTATGTGATGTCTCTGATAACATCTTCGTATATGTAAAGCATGCTGAATGTAGATGGACCAATACAAAAATCCCTTGAACAGAAAGCATTAGGTAACACTGGGTTGCAAATGGTTCACATGTACTATCAGATTTAGAGACATTGAGTAATAAACAGGAAACTGACTGTATCCCAGTTAATATTTTCATAATAATTATGTTAAATCATACAGGTTTTAAAGGCAATGCACGAGTTATTATACCAGGTTTAACAGCCTGTGTGGAGTGCACACTGGATCTATATCCACCACAAGTAAGTCAGACTAATATTGATTGATTTTAGACATCTTTCACAAAAGGTGGGCTTAATTATCATTCTCACTGTACATCATATAATTAATATTGTTCTTCTTGGCCTCAACAAAATGTGTAAAACCCAAATAATTTCCACTAAAAGTGAGGCCAAGAAGGCTGATTTGCCATGAAAGAATTGGTCATGATAATCATTATCAGAAAGGCTTTAATTTAACAAAGAATTCTCATAATGTATTAAACCCTTGGCTTATCTTTTTTAGTTTGATAGAGTACTTATGACTTGCTTTTTCATTTCCTCTGACCTGATTGGTAATACTAATTATACACTTACTTGAATTTGTAGAACTTCAAGTAGTTTTACCTCCAAATTATTGTTGATGTTGAAAGGGTTATACTGCACAAAGTTATCAAATGTTATGTACCTTAATTTTATAGTTTTTGTATCTTGTTTCTAATAATTAAAAGAGAGCTGAATGGGGCAGGAGTAAGTTTGATTCAGAAATGGATATGGTACTATGGTAGATTCAATAATTTTCTCTGGGGATGCCTGTTATCTATCAGGGACTTTTTTCAGGCTACAGGTGTTGATGAGTAGTTTATTGTTGTTGATCTCACAGGTTAACTTCCCTTTATGCACCATTGCACACACCCCTCGTATGCCAGAACACTGTGTGGAATATGCAAAGGTACTAGTTTGGCCACAAGAACATCCCTTTGGAGGTATGACACTTTTATTGTAGGTAATTAATACTTTCTTTGGTTACTGATATTGCTAGAGTACCTTGCATAGGCTATTTTGTAAGAGCCATCTTTCACTGATTAAGTAAATGGCTATTGCTTATGTTAGAGGGTGTGCCTGTTGATGGAGATGATCCTGCCCATGTTCAGTGGATTTACGACAAAGCCAAAGAAAGAGCAGATAGTTTTAACATCCAGGGAGTGACATACAGACTAACTCAAGGTGAGAACTCACAGAGAGACTACCTGTTGATAGCAGTGCTCTCAAGTACACAAGAATCAACTAGCACTGTAATAATATGGTCAAAGAAACCACTCCTTGGTATAGTGGTGTTTAGTCTGTCCCACTTGATGGTAAAATATAAGAGAGCTTTAGATCTGACTACAAGTATGGCTATGACTATGAGGTTTCCTTGCCACAAGTAGTTTGCATGACAGGTCATGCAAACTCTGAAAAAGTCTTAGCTAATTATGGGTTTTACTGGAGATCTTGTATTCACACTTCAAATTGAAAGGTTAGTCAAAATTGTTCTTTTTCCAGATAAAACTATTTCAGGAATCCAAAAAAAAACCACGGAGTGTTCTATTAATCCTGAAAAAGCTATGCTCTCATTTGTCACATCATGTTTATTTTAAGTTACAAATTTGTTGCAGGTAAGGAAGACCTCAAGGGGCTAGTGCCACTCTACTCCCTGTCCAAACTTTTGTTGTAGTCTTACTCCTAGTCAGATTTAAAGCTCTCTTGACAATTGTTTTTCAGGCTTCTGTACAAAGTCTATCATGTGTGTGGACTGTTACAAAAAAAATTTAACTAGAAGATAAATCCTTATGCAGCACTTATTATTTCTATCAAATCTTTTGCAATTCCATTTTCTTTGCCTGAAATTCAAGACAAAGGTTTGACATCTGTCTTAAATTATCTTTTCCTCAAGGTGTAGTCAAGCATATTATTCCTGCTGTGGCTTCTACAAATGCTGTCATTGCAGGTAAATTGACTCAAGTGGTTTACTGTAATTGCCTTTGGGATATGGGATAGACTTCAAAGACTACGGTGCAGATTAGAGTATAATATATATTACCTCAAATAAATAGTGCTAGTGGTCGTGGAGGTTGAAGAGTGCTCAACCCTAATTTCCAAATTGATCACCTCAGCATGCAGGTTTGTCTTGCATTACGATAGTTCAAATGAAGGAGAAGCTGTCCACTAAAACTCTTGCATAGGGTAGGGAATTTGTGACAATTATAGAATGGTGTTTCAAAATGCACCTGAAAGTGGTTTAGTACAGGCCATTATGGCCTCCATGGTCCTAGGGAACATACTCCATGGGTATAAAATAGTTAACTGAGTTCTTCCCTCCTCATGACTGCTACAGAATTGATGTACCTTGAATATTCATTTTGATTTGTACCAGCTGCTTGTGCTCTTGAGGTGTTCAAGCTTGTATCCAGGTATGGTTGTTGTTTCATTGTATGATAGTTTACCACATGACATCAAATAAAAACAGAAGTGGTACAGGAGAAGGGCATACTTAGGAAATATGATAAACAAATTCCCTGCATACAATTCTCATACTCTGCTTGCAGTGTTTTTTTTGTTTTTTTTTTTTGCCCTGTTATACATGAAACCTCTACCATATAGAAGTCAAAAAACAGGTTATGCTAAGATATAAAACATCTTCTCTATAGCTCTAACTTATAGTCCTTGCTTTGTAATTAGCTCAAACTTACATCAATTTCACCCATTACTCCAGCAGTGCTGTGGAGAATGTTTCTGCCTATAGCCTTTCCTGTGCAGAACCACATTCCCTGTTGCTTCAGGAAGGTAGTGTCCTAGCTCAGTTAGCTTGCTGGTGATCCCTTTTCAATCATATTTATTTTTGCTGTTTAACAGCTGCTGTAACCCACTGAACAACTACATGGTTTTTAATGATACTGATGGACTGTACACATACACTTTTGAGGCTGAAAAAAAGGTAGCATTTACTTTTGGATGTTGTCAACTGCGAATTAATTAAACACTGGGGTTGATTACTCCATTCTATTCTTAACCCTAGCAAATGATAATTCTGAAAAAGGACTGTTATTAGCATTGGTCATTTGGTAGTGGGGCAG